TGGCTTTGGTCTCAGACTCTCAGAAAGTCGGAGTTGCTCAGGTTGGCTACACCGTGACTTTTGTGCTTCGGCCTGTGGGCGGCTTGCTGAATGGCACAAGCCTCAGGTTTGGCTCGGGGCGGTGCGACTCACGGTACAGGCTTAGTTGAAGTTGGCTGAACTTGGTGACTCTTTTGAACTACACGTTTCATTATCTGCTTTCCTTCTTCCCAAGCTTCATTTTTCTGGACATCAGATGCTGGTTTGCCAGACGTCGCCCACAATACAGCCCGGATGGCAAGTGCAAGTAGGCTTGTGGATTGCAGCCTCCCCGCTGAAATGTTGCCTCCCCACTGAAAGCGACACCTTCTGAACCATATCAGGTTGGCTCGCCGATAGATTCGGCAGGTTCGTGGCGGGGCGGAGTTGCTTGTTGTGTCTTGACGCCACCCCTTCTGGGGGATTTTGGGGGCTTGCGACTCCGAATCTGGATTTTTCGGGAGCGAGTTGATGTCATCAGACGCTGGCAGTCCAGATGCGCAGCGTGTAGAAACTAGATGTTGACGGTTGAAATGCCTCCGATGTGAGTGTTTTGAATGCAGCTTGATATCCTCGATGGATGATACACTCCGAAGAATGGCCTGAGCCCGCTGCGGACGCCTTGTTGTGCCATACTCATTTTGGCAATGCCGACTCACATAAACCAGATAGGGCAGGGCATTCAAAAGGCCGGCTGTCTTTTTTTTGAGTGGTTTCAGCAAGCGGGCGTGCCCTAGCCTATACTTCTAGGCACCAAAACATGTCAAGACTCTCCGGAGAGGCGTCCTGCAGTCCTCCACTCACTGGTCGGCATGCTGCTGGCCACTGTGGGCCAAGGTTTGCCGCGTGGACTGTTCAGCTCCTTGTGATCCTTTGTGTGGCTTTGAGTTGTGATTTGCTTCACGCTCCTTGGCATGTGGCCGGCTGCAACGCAGAAAGCCGACCCACGGTTATGTACAGCGGTTTTTGCATCTCATTGCTGTGAGGGGTGGGGGGGGGTCCGTGATGATCCGTGGTCCAAGTTGCATAATGCCTTGCTCGTTTCTTCGTGACAACCCAGGCTGCCAACAGCTGACTGCTGCGGCGACCGGGCTGCGTCATGCGGGACGGCTAGAGCTTCCAAGCCTCAAGGCCTTAAGGCACACCCACAAAGGGTTGCAAACTCAGCAAGCTTGCCCAAAGAAGTAGCACTGAACATGGGAGGTTTGGTGGATGTTGGTGGTAGTGGCATCTGAGCACATCCCTCGCAAGCTCATGTCCCGAGCCAAGGCGAGGTGTGTGGCACCCTGGGCTTGGTCCTGCCCCTCTGACAGCAGATGGCCTAATATCGCAGCAGAACAAAGCATAACACCTTGACCAAAATCAATCATATGCAACTTCTCATGTCCAAGGCTGCTCATTCTCCGCGCTCTGCAGGGCCTCAGTGCAGGCCTTGAGATTTGAAATTTGAACTCGTGATTTGGGCTCTGGCAGGGTGACTTCGAGGATCCTTGGGGACCTACTCTCAACATGATTTTCAACTGCGGCCATGCGGGTAGAGGAAGCGAGCGATTCTCGAGGTTCCTGGCTGGCCCTGTAGCTCGGGGAGGAGGAGTCCCAAAAGCCTTGAGCTCCCTGGAGCCAGCTCGTAATTTCAAGCCTTGTGCTCCAAAGCTGCAAATGATCTCGAAACCGAAGAATGTATGACGTTGTGTGATTGCTGCTGGGCCCTATCGGCCTATGACGGAAAGGCGCAGAAGACCCGTCCCAAACTCCACAATGACCCAACAATGGTTGCGAGACATCCTTTGCAGGTGGTGAGCTCGGTCCGATTGTCTCCTACTTTGCGGAGACGGCGCCCGTGGGATGGTGGCCTGATTGGACAAGCTACCCAAGGTTTTTCACCCAGTTTACTCGGTCCACTGAGCGTTCTAAGGGCTTTATGTCCTAATTAGATCAGTGAAAGCATTGAGGCTTTCTCTTGTGCAAGCAGTGTTGTGGATCTTAGGCCAGCCCTAAACTCTGCAAATCTTCACGCCCACAGGGTAGAACCTCAGCCTTAGGTTCTTCATTTTCTTGTCACACGCAGATGTTGTAGGGGAAATTTGAATGTTGGCCTTTGCAGAGCCCGAAATGCCGGGGGTCTTCAGAATCTCATGTTCGCCATTCCCTTAATGAATAGCCTCCCCGCCTGCTGGGGGAGGACGGGCTTCGGAACAGAATCATGGCTTTCTTGGGATTGATGTCTTCGCTTAGAAATGTTTAAGAAGTAAGGTTTAGGGCGAGACTGTTCGGGGTGCATGCGAGCGTAAGAAAGGGCTGCGCTGCAACCGGGCATGTTAGCTCATTGGTTGATTACTGCCATTCCCAGTTTCCTTTCCCCCGAAGGAAGAGACAGATTTAGACCCGTGATGGGGTGGGCCGTTTCACCTCAGAAGATATTGCCGGGTATTGGTGAATGCCATTATCGACAGCTGCTTGCGCTTCAACATCAGGAAGAGGACAAGCACCGGCATACTGACATCGACTGCCGGCGTTGGCTACCGGGCATGGTATCAGGTACATTTTGTAAACGGACATCCTAGAAGCTTTCACGCGTATTCGGGGATTACTGTACTTGGCAGTGAAAAAAACCTTTTGTGACTATACTGTCATGTAGTGTCAGGCCAGTGCTTCATGGCGTGTATGGCGTGAAAGATTTTGCATTTGAGAAGCACGTGAGTTGAGCGCCGCAAGGTTTCTTGCTGGCGAACCTTGTGGTAGCCTTGACCGTGAACCTCCTCGGTGCAGAGGCAGCAGGGCACGGCCAGGGCGTGAAGACGTACGCTTGCTTTTGTTCGCCGGTCAAGTCAGCTGCCAACCCACACAAGGAAACACAATCTTGGCATCTTAACATTGACAATGCGACAATAAGCCACAACAGAGGCTTCGCTTGAGAATTCCTGGCAGGAGATGAACCGATGGGGATGGCGAATTCCGTTCTTGCTCGCGTTGCCGCCAGGATGTTGCGGTAGGGACGCTGAGATACGCTATGCTCGAGAATAGCGGATGGCGGAGATGGGGCCTTCTATCCTTCCTCAGGACTGATCTCCCTTTGGGGCCGGTCCAATATGGCCGAGACTTCGGAGTTCCTGCGCACGAAGGCAGCGAACGAGGCGGGGAGCCCTGATGGCTAGAGTTCGAAGAAAAAGTAGAAGTTGAGGCACCGGGCCATGCCTGGGATAGGGCCAATAAGCCCTCAACCAAAGCAGCCTCAGCTTCACAGGACCACACGCATCAGAAGAGAGGCGTTCGCCTATTGCCCGGGACTTGGCAGGGGTTGAGACTGGAATGTGGCGAGGCATTTGCGCTGGAGCTTACAGATTGCAAAGCAACAAGTCATGCAGAAATATGCAGAAGCCTCCCTGAATCTTCATAGTGTTTTGCTTCCGGGGTGTGTTATCAATGCCCGGCTCAGTTCAGCTGCGCGGCCTAGTTGGCGTCTTGTTCGTTGCGGGCATTTGCGAGCCAATGAAAGGGGAATGAGATCATAGTTGCAATTGGTTTTTCCGATCAGGCACCTGTTTTTTTGGTTTCATCTGGGGGTACCAGTAAACTCGGGTAGACTGCCCCGTCCGAGAGGCTCCTCTTCCGAGAGCACGGATTGGTGCCTTGGCTTCCGCAGGAGCTGGCGGGCTCCAGATTGGAGAATAAGACTTGGATCTCCCTCCGTAGCAGCCTTGTAGAGGATGTGTTCTGATGGTTATGGGAGCGAAGAAGGGGGCAAGAGGAGCCACGAGAGTTTACAAACGTCCCAGAGCCGAGAGCTGCGGCCTCTGAGGCGGTTTTCCTGGGCTTCTGGAGCGTGGGAGCCATTGCCGTGGCGTACTACTCCGGGCTGTGGTGCCAGCGAGGGGGCGATTTGTCGGTTGTTCTGTTCGAGCTTAGCTTCAAGAGCTGGTAACTGCATGCTTGTTTCTGCAGAAGCAATAAAACCCTAGTCCCGTTCTGCGGTTTGCGCCGATGGAAATGCACAAAAGTGGCTCCACTGCCTGTTTTTTTGGCCCCTTCCGCTTGCACGATTTCAGCAAAGGCGGCGCTCATAACCGCTCTCATTGACACACTGGCTGTGAGATAGGTCGTCCCATGCGTGGCCCTGGATTTGTTTTTGCTTGGCCGCTTTGGCCTACCCGCTCTGGCTTGTGGTGTTTGACAGGTGCCCATCATACCTGAAATCGCGCGGCTTGAGCCAGGTGCCGGACTGATGGCCATGGCTTTGGGTTTTACCTGGCTTCAGGCATTTAAACGGTCGAGGAGATTAGATTTGTTTTTGGGGGTATTGGGGGTGGGGGAATCTGATAGGGATGGTAGGGGGTTGATTGTAATTCGTCATGAAGACTTCAAACCCTTCGAAGGCCAGGTGAGCCTGGACTTGCAGCTTGCCGCCATGTGGGAGAGCCTGTGGTATCCCGTCAACATGACCACACTCACACAGGAGGTCGCGCTGAGAGGCGGTTTTTCGACCCACCCCGGTCCCTTCACCCCGGCCCCGCGTCAGCTGAACCTGGTTCAGGTGGACGCCCTGGTTGCCGGATGTGTTTTCGCAGGCGCCTGGATTCCCAATATCTCTTGAAAGTATGTGGGGCTTGGGGTTCTGCCCGGCTCCACTCTAGTTACTCTAGTTAACTTCCACGTCCTCCTCTTCGCGCCAAGGCTTGATGTTTTTTTGTTGTGTGTGTGTACCATCCTGTCTACCACGGATAAGAACACAAGTCGCAAATGCAGTCGGGGTGCAAAGCAGGGATGATGCAAGATGCATTATGTACCAGAGGGCTATACCAGACTGCCAACTCCCAGAGGGGTGCAAGAAAAGACATATAGCCGCCACGATTTTAAGGAATATGTGTGGGTGGTCCTGAGCAGCATGACAGCAAAGTCTCGCTTCGAGAGATGGGTTCGCAGTAGCCCCCAAGTTCTCGACGCGAGAGTTGAGTGTCACACAGAACTAAATCTTTACGCTGCACATGCGAGGCATGGTGGCATTGCTTTTCTTCTTGGTCCCCTTCCTCAATGACCCTTGGAGTATCCTGTGCATGGAGCCACCCGTTGATCTTGTAAACCTAGTGTGTGGACTGGCAAAGGGGGCTTGACTTTGAGTGATAATGTATGATAATGTTGTGTTGCAATGTCTGGTGGGGGGGGTCATGCGTTCAGAGCCATTACCCAGCCTTTTTTGCTCACAGCACCTTGCCAAGGATCTTTGTTGCCGCATTGAACCGATGGGCATGATGCTCTTCGGTAGTTCTGGGCTGACTGTCACCGGCTTCCTGGTTTTTGCCGACGCTTGGCAGAGAAAGACAGCTTGTGGTTGTGGCTTGTGGACTCAGCCCTGTTGCAAAATAGCCCGGCCTGTGGACAGCTTCCATGAAAGAATGCAGCCCCTTACTGCATGAAAGGTTTGAAAAGCCAGTTGCATGGCAAAGGCTTAAACTTGTCGTGTTCGGCCTCGTCCAAGATGCCCTTCCGCATCACCAGACAGAACTTGCCATCGCCCGCCGTGGACAGTGTAGCATGTACCAGGACCATGAGACTTCAGGGTGCTGAAGCCGTCCCCTTCCTACCCGGCCCCCCCCCCCCCCCTCCCCCTTCAAGCAGAGGTCTTGTAAGTGCCATGCCGCAGAGTCAAAAACTCTTATTGCTGTCAAAGCATAGGCGTGCGCTACCTTGCAAGCTGCAGCTGGGTGCATCTTCCCGCTCAGGCGATTAGCTCGGCCACGGAGAACTTGTTGCTTCCCGCCTGGCTGGGGGTAAGCAGCGCAGCCTCGAGTTCAGCAACATGCAGCTGCGCCGAAGCCAAGCCCCATGCCTCTGCCATGTTCCAAGGCTGGTTTCGATCTTGGTGCTCGGACTGGTGTACGGCATCATGGTCGGCTTAACTGGCTCACACATGCACCTTGGACTACGTGTGTAGGCCGAGCGTAGGGTAGGGTACTGTGCAAAGCAGGACGAGTCAGCTTTCAGCACGAAGAGCCTAAAGGTACATCTTCGTTGCGGACCTCTTCCCGACCTCGGTGCGGGCATTAGGACAGCCTGTCCACCTAAAGCGATCCCAAGAGTCAATCTCGTGGTTTGCATATGACAACAGCCCATGCAGCCCAAGGAAGTTTGCAATTGGGAAGCCTCTGCCTTTCAATGCTTTGCACGTGCATGGAATGCAAACAACTCCTTGTCAGAGTGCGGCGTCAGACCTAGGCTGTCGCAGATGTAGGCAAGTGGGAGTCAAGACTGAGGACCTGAGATTTTGGATTGTGCACTGACTTTATTGAAAGCGTGCAGGATTTGGCGTCAGCTTCAACCTGGCCTTTGCCATTTTAGGAGGCGCTCGCTCTGGCGATCTTGCGGTTGGCATGCAAGGACGAAGGAAGCATATTCTGCTCTACCAACTTTCTGCTACTTGCCACAACCTACAACAAAGTTGTTGCGGAATGCCCACTCTGCTGTCCGACCATCGATCTGCTTTAACACGGGCCTCGCAATTGTCGCCTCACATGTCGTTGCAAGCTTTGCAGGATTCTGGTCATTCGGGTGTCAGGTGTCCAGCAAACATTGTGCAGGATGAGGGCCCTCACATTCATAAAGGATGAAATTCATCCTCAAGCACCAAATTTGCCAAACTGGCCTTCATAAAGGCTCATGCGACAAGGGTGATCAGTGTAAGTGTCCCTTGCAAAAAATCTGTCCCACGAATTGAATGGGACAAATGTGTGAACTTTTGCATCTGTGTTGTGTGAGGGCGGCAGTGTGATGAAAGCACACGCTATGCCGCCATACTCGCACCTTTGCAGCGATGGACAAGCAGGTATAGGGCATGCACAAGGTGCAGGGGCAACGGCCCCAAAGCTCCATGCCCACGCTCTTGCTTCTGATGTGGAGCGCAGGCACCGCATCCCTGGTGGACGCTGCACTGGCGGACGCGCACTTCTCATTCGGGGTAGCTCGGTTTGGCAGCTTAGGGCTCCAGATGCTTGCTTGTATCAGTTTTTGGCAAGTTTCCCTTAGTCTGATCCATGACTTTGAAATTGTATTCCTGATTGAACTCTTCAGTGACTCCATGTATGCGTCTGTTGCCGTCTACTCGTCTACCCGTCTACTGCGGGAGAAGACCTACTGCTGTTGCAGCCGGCCTTGCCCGTCTCGCGGATCAGAGGCCTCGATGTAAAAAAGGCTCCAGATGCAAAAAAGACCTCAAGGGAAAAGTCACGAGGTGTCTCGCTGGCTTCACTGCCAGCCGGGGCTGTTCCACCGTGTCTCCTGCGATCCCTCCACAGGTTGGACTCTACTGGTCACTTGTGGGTCTTGGTAGCGTCCTGGCCCTGTCAGTTGGCTTCCTGTCAGCAAGTTGGACAGGGTTTTGCAGCGTGAGATGGTTCGTGGTAGCTTCTGCTTCATGGGGCTTCTTGGATGTTCCGGCATGAGGCTTGCGTACCATGAGTGCAGGAACACGTCGACGTAGCCGAGATATTGCCATTTGGTACCCATCAGTCAGAGCACGCTGCGTACAGGCAAGTGCCTACGCTCGCACGGACGATTGACGAGCCAGCTCCTCGTGAACAAGGTCCGGCCAGTTCAGCATAGGTGAGACCGTTTATACAATACAAGTTGCCTGATCCTTTGCACTGAGTCCAGCGGCTAAACGACTGCAGGGCCTTTGGATGCTCAGGGAACGAAATACATGGTTTGGTCACCCTAGTTGGAGCCACTACTTTTCCAAATCCGCAAGCCACCTCCAGGACCAAGGGGTTAGCCATGCAGGTTCGTCTGAGATCTTGGGGTCCAAAGCTGCGCAAAGTCAGAGCTCCACAAAGTACGAGTAGTGGTTGATTCTGCGTCGGATGCCGTTCTTTGCAATTCCCCAGCCACATGGCAACAATGTGACACAGCAAGCTGATCGGATGCCAGCGCTCCATGCTGCAGAAGCCAGAAATCGAAGCTGCAGTCCGAATCTCATCAGGAGCTCGGGTCGCCGAGGAAGTTCGAGTTCTCGGAAGACGGAGGGCTGCTTCGGCCTGGTCTTTGAGATGTTGATGTTGAGAGCAAGGGGACGTCACTCTCTCCCCTAGATGTGTACATCTCGCCTAGATGTGTAGGACAGTAGGACTCGGGGGATGTGCAGGTAGGTATTCATTATATACATATATATATATAGACAGATTTGTCTTTTTTCCCCACAATGAACAGCATACTCGTAGCATATATGACAACCTATATGACGTATATGACATATACAACACATATAACATGCATATATATATCTATACATATATATATATACAGAAAACGTTATATATATATATATATAGATCGATAGCCGGGCACGGGATTTAAGACGTACCTTGGTTTTACATTAAAGAAACAGAGGTTTCTGGTGTTTCAAGGCGGTTTTTTTTTTTTTTTATCGGAATCGGGTGTTTAACATAAGATCAGGTGGTTAGGCTGAAATATGCAGGCCCCGCACCCGGCATAGGTGTGTTTGGTAAGTCTTGAGTGCCGTTGGTTAGTTGTTTGGATTTCAGGGGTTGGAGTTTGATTGGGTTGAACTAGGCTTGCAAGTGTGAGGCTCCAGGCCCAGTGGTTCGACCAGACTAAATAATCAGCATCGCAACATATCACACATCATCATCTTTAATATGCAGTAATAAGATCACGGAGCAGTGCAACAGCATCGTGACAAATGCTGTCGAAGAAATGAGCGAAGCACACAGGGGCGTCTAAGTGCGTGATGATTTTGCGATGGTGCAACCGAGTCTAGCGTCCCGTCTAGAATCTGAAGTCCAAAGCAGTTCCGGATCCGCAAAGCCACGGCTTCTTCTCTTTCAAGGTCCTTGGCGAGCACAGCATCTGTTAAAAACGAAGGACAGTGAGCCCGCATGCAAAGAGTTGGATGAGAAGTCCGAGGTAGGATTATAGGATGCGGCCTGTGTGATGACTGGGGGTTGGCCCTCCACTCCCACTCAAAACCCTACAAACCCTGCTCCCATACACTTGCAGATCTAGCAGGACCATTCTCTTTGGAGACTTCGGCTAACGACTCAGAGACGTCGGAGGTGACGCTCGTTTGCAGCTTTGGACGCGGGTCAGCTTGGATTTGCACAGCCAGAGCCATTGATCATCAACAGACATGGCACACACAGTGTTTGCAATTCATACAGCTGCTGCAAATCTTGCAACTACACGCCTTTTCCGGCTGAGGTGAGAAAAAGTCGGCTGCTCTCTTCTATGGTGACAGCCTGCACGCTTCGATCACTTCAACCGCCTCAGCCGCAATCCGGGCAGGAGTCGGCAGGATGACACACTGTCCTGCAAACCCCTAGCCGGGGCGTGGTCGGACCCCGAACAGACTTGCAAAACAGTCGGACAGGCCACAACAGCCACAGCTTTTCAGACAGTGGCCTTCCACCGTGGAGTCGCAGATCTGCCCCTGGCATGTACGGCCCTACGAGGATGAAAGGGTTCTGAGCTTATCTGAGCTAGCAGCTAGCCTCTGGAAATTCTTAGCTTCTGACATTGAAAAAACAGGCAGAGATCTGCAAAAACGGTGGTCTTCTGGGCATGTCCAGGGGCCTTTAATCACAGGGGCTGACGTGGAGCTCTTCCTGCACAGTGCCATCATGGTTCCAGAGCTCCCGAATTCAAGCCGTTTCCAGATTGCTTTGATGTCGAAGATTCTCTTCTTGCCATGGCTCCAGTTCGTTGTGTCTCTACAGGTTGTCCGGTTTTCTTGGTCTGACCACTTTCCTTTCGCCGCCTGGCTTATGTAATGCTGCCTGTATAGATCAACAGCTGTAAAGAATCGCAACACACGATTGCATACTGCCTGCCCGCCGAGAGGCTAGCAGCACCCTTTTTGTCATGCTGCACTGGCCGTGTTGGGGATGGTATAACGTTGCTTGAGTCTAAGTTCATTCAATCGAAGAAGTACGGACCATGCCAAGCTCTGCCCGATGACCTCTGCCCCCTACATGGAATGCACGGCCCATGCGCATTTGCCCGCAGATGTGTGCAGCACCACAGTTGTGCAGCTGATGTCTGCAAATACCGAGATGAAAAGAGCAGCCTCGTTCAGTTGCGATGTGCGGCATGAGGCATTGGCTCCGCCCCTTAATTGCGCCTCAGGCTCGGCAACTCCTACAATGCAACCTTTTCTGGGGCACACTTTGCCTCGCAGCTGCATGTACCAGGCGCCGGCCGAAACCGCAATCTATCTGCTGTGAACCCTATACAATCCCTACAAGGGTACGTCCCCCGTGGCAGACATCTGTGCAGGCACTTCGGCTCGGCTCAACAGCCCTTTGGCACAACCAGTTTCCAAAGAGATGCACAGGTGCTGGGGAATGTTGGTGCGAGTGCAACTCTTCATGATCAGGAAACAGTGCACCACAAGCTCGCAGGTCGTTGTGAAATCTCATGGCTCTAAGCTCTAAAGCCTTCGGTTTTGCAATCGGGCGACGTCATCGGCCTAACCAGGGTCCAGTCTAGAGCATCTCTTGTAAATGTCGCCTTGCTCTGTTCAGTGTGCGCAGCTTCGGCAGTACCACGACAGTGCACTGGCAGTTGAACGCGCAGTTGCTGTGACAATCTCTGCGCCGAAGGCCACTAGCACGCTAGAGTACAGGTGCAAGAAGTTCGCGAAAAACACGTTGCAGGATGTCAGAGCGTGCCGAGGCTGGTTCCAGCGACTGGCCAGATGTCTCAACCAGAAAGCTCTGCGCTCAGTGGGCGGTCCCCGGGCGCTAGGGCATCAGAGATGTTGTATTTCGTTGGGTGTGGGGGGGGGGGGAATGGGGGAAAGGCTTTAGGAAGTTTGTAGTGTCGAAGCCCAGAGCTAAACCACCCTAATCCCAACAGGCATCCTTTGTAGAAGAGTTAAACCTGGGTAGGACATGCCACCAACGATTGCTGCTGCGACGCTGCAGGCGCGAGTTGGGTTAGCGTTTGAGGATGTTTGGGGTTCATGTGCTTGCTTCGGCTTTTCAGGCTGCAGGATTCTGATCTTATGGGTTGGAGGAGGCCACTGTCTCAGAAGACACTTCTCAGCAACCTCATCCCAGCCTTCCCGAATAGCAGTCATCCAAGAAGGCTAAGCGGGGTACCGTCGAAGTTTCCTGGACCCCCTGCTGTAGAAGTCCATCGCCTGAACCAACCACAAGAATCAGCCGCCCCCCCCCCCCCCCCCCCCCTCTCCCCCTGCAGAAAAACCCAAAAACATGACCTGCATGGGTCAGTTGCTGGGTGCCCCCGACGCTGCCGAAGCTGCTGCCCCTAAGCTGATCAAGGATGGGCCTTTTCGGGCTATGTGATCTTGTCGTCTTCCAAGTCAGAGCCATGTCGTTGCAGGTTCTTTTCTTGGCTGTGCTGGCCAGGCTTAGCTTGTATACGCTGCTGCTATTTCATACGGTGCGAGAGGTATGTTGGTGTAGGGGGGCCGTGACCTTCCCACGGTAGGTTGATTGAGGGCTCCAAACTTGGGATTACACCTGCCGTCGCTCGACATGGGGGATGCGAAGGCAGCATGTGCTCAAATGGCTTTCCACTTGCTTGTCTGCCACAAGACGATTAACACATGCAGCACTGCGATGCAGCAAAG